TGATATTATGCAGCGCCTGAAAATAGGCTAACTTCCGCCAACATAACCAACGTGACCACTTGCTTGCACAGGGAGCGTGCGCTTTCCATTGGAAGTTACCTAGCTGGGACTATTTTCAGGCGCTGCGTAACTTTTCATTTTCCGTCGGTCTTAGTACACTATGTAACTGCAGAAGAGTCAAGTTTTAAATAGGAAAAATATCGAAACTCTTTAGACCGTTAGCATCTCGCTCAAAAATGACCAAAGAGTTTCTATATTTTTCCTATTTAAAACTTGACTCTTCTGTAGTTACATCATGTACTAAGACCGACGGAAAATGAAAAGTTGCGCAATGATATTACGCAGCGCCTGAAAATAGTCCCCAGCTAGCGAGATGCTAACGGTCTAATCAGATTCAATGATCTATGCTAAGCTACAGCTAAAAGTGCTACCGCCAGACCCGGAGATCGGCTGAATGGATTCGAAAACGGTAAAACTCAACTGTTTAACTCTAGGGGAGTTGGAAAATGAGCCTATTTTCAAAAATAGTGGAGTGTTCCTTTAATGATGGAAATAATTTCATAATGCATAAAATCTTAATAGACTCATTAATAATAAAAATGTATAACTATACATTTAAATAACATTTTAATAATTATTATTTTATTATAATTTAATTCAAAAATATTTTTATAATTTACTTATAAAATTAAATAATTCATATATTTATATTTTATAATTAAATATATTTTAGAATTTAATTATAAAATAAAATCATTTTATATAATTTATAATTTTATAATTGTATTATTTTAGGGTGAAATAGGAACCCAGACATGAGATTAACATTAATGCTAACTAGGCAGTAAAGGCAAAAAGTTTAAAAATGTTTAGGTTTAAAAAAGTCAACACCTTTCTTTAATCTAATATAGCTGACCTTGCATCAGGCCAGATGAACCTTTACCATAAAAGCCATCAATTTAACATCCAGAACAAACAGGAAATTCATACACATGCATCCATATTTCCATTTTTGCAAGCGCTGCAGCTTATATCCCATTCCCCAGGGGTCTTGTTTGTCAAAACATGGTCATTTTTATTATAATTTATGTATTAATATAGTATGATGTCATGTATGGATTGTGTCTGCCTCTGAGCCAATCAAAGAGCTCGAGACCTTAGCGACTGATGACACATAATTAGCATTGAGCCCCGAGACAAAAGATTCAAACTGTTGCCATCAATAAGGGTGTCTTTGCTATTGATTTAATTTTACTGCACAGACCACACAAAGAGCAGACAAACATTACAAAAGATAATGACCTGCAAGAGATTACACAACATGTATCATTCAGGGTGGACAGTATGACCACATTCTTTTATGATAATATCTGTTTTTGTACATTCCAATGCCATTCCATTAAATACTTCACAAATTAATCATTTGGAACTTGATGGATGCAAACCAAAAGATCAGATTAATAAAAAGACGAATGTAGAAATGACTTCAGCCTGTGCGTGCAGCCAAAACTTCAAAACGTCCCGCAGAGGTTTCATGAAAAAAAAAAAACACGTGAGCTTAAAATGAAAGGGAACAATCGTGCACTAGCGGATAAACACAGTCACAAATGACAGGATTATTTCACTCTATGGAAAATAAAAAGAAGGGAAGAGACTTTCAAGTGTTCAAAAACAACAACAACAATGAGAGTTGAGCTGGATAGAGGAGTGTGACCGGACGGAGTGAAGGGAAGATAGAGGGCATTTCCGTCCGGGCTCTGGGAGGTGAGGTGAGAGTCTGCAGGGCTTTGAAGCCGCGCAGATTAGTAACACGGCACTGGTCGCAAGGTCGAGCGTGAAATCTCTCACTTTTTGGTGTAGCGCTGGCGGCGAACAGCCCTTCTTCTTTCTCTGCCTGACAAAAACACTTCCTTAACTTTCCATCACTCGTGCTCCTTTTTTTTCAGAAGGGAAACCATCCTTGTACCCCTGAACTCACCTGCCAGCAGTTGCTATTCTTTCCCAAACTACTCGCTTTACACAAACACACAGCGACTCCAATCACAGTAGAACTGTTTTCCTGCGCTCTCCAAACCACTTCAGTCCCCTTTTTCAATTTGTAGAAAGAAAAGCAGCCCTAACAGTATCATTTAAACTTTGATCCATAACAACTTGTGCAGAACCAACCAGAACCACTGTGCAGAAATAATAAGCTATCATCACTATATGCAAATGAACTGTTATAATTGGCCACACATGTAGAACAAGTAACAATACCAGTTGCACTAATGTGTAAATTTGTTCATATGTGACCCTGGACCACAAAACCAGTCATAAGGGTCAATTTTTTTTTAATTGAGACTTATACACCATATCAAAGCTGAATAAATAAGCTTTCCATTGATGTAAGGTTTGTTATACATATTTACATGATTGAGAAGGTTTCCTGTATTTGCTATTGCTTAGGTTCAATACTGTAAATAATAACCCTATCTGGACAACCTGAATCCCTGACAATATTCAAGAAACGTCTAAATACTCTTCTCTTCTATGTGAATGTCACTGCATCATATTGAAGCCCGTTTCCACCACTGAACAAAAAGTAAAAAGGCCAATTGCGACTTTTTATCTCATAATTCTGACTTTTTTTCTTGCAACTGCGAGTTTATATCTCACAATACTGACTTCTGTTCTCAGAATTGTGAGATAATAAATCTCACTTGTGAGTTATAAAGTCCAATTCTATGGAAAAAAAAGACTGACTTCTTTTCTCAGAATTGTGAGACAAACTCACAATTACGAGTTATAAAGTCAGAATTGCATGATATAAAGTCGCAACTGCATGTTATAAAGGCATAATTGCGAGATATAAACTCACAATTGCGAGAAAAAAAAAAGAAGTCAGAATTGGGAGATAAAAAGTCGCAATTACCTTTTTTTTATCTTTTATTCAGTGGCAGAAACAGACGTCCATAAAATCTTACTGAAGAAAACATTTTCTTTTTATAAAACGGATAGTTCCGGTCCTTGATTCTAATTGGTTGAGCCGCGTTCGAAGCTGTTGTAATTACACTACAAACATACACATTTGTTTACTTCTGTGTGTTGCTCGGCAACCACTTTGTTGGAACCTCAACTGTTTCTGAGGAACTACATTGTTTGGTGGAAGAATACTGTTTTTATTTATATCATTACACTTTATTTGCTCTGTTTTATTCTGTAAAACCTTACTACGTATATGGAATAAACGTTTTATAAAAGCAATAATCCCCGTGAAGCGGTGGTTTACAGTGAATTTATAACAGCTAAGGGGGTTTTAAGCACGACACGAAGCGGAAACAACGCCCCTTAGCTGTTATAAATTCACTGTAAACCACGGCTTCTTGGGCTTATTGCTTTATTCTATGCTTTCACTATTTCTTAATCCCTCTCTGTTCAAACTTATACTATTCTGGACAATGTTTGAAACTTTGTACTGCAAGCACTTTTGTGTTTTTGCGTCATTAAAATGAATCGCTTGTGTATTCCTCATTTGTAAGTCGCTTTGGATAAAAGTATCTGCTAAATGAATAAGTGAAAATGTGAATGGACTTGGGAGGGAGATTGCATTGTACTGTAAACATCAGCGAAATCTTGTTTTCCATGACATATCCCCTTTAAAATTTTTTTTAAAAAAAACAAGTAATGAAGGATGCAAACGTTTGACTTACACATCGCTCTGGTGCGTATAGACTCGGTCGAATAGCGCCTCTGGAGCCATCCATTTCACCGGCAGACGACCCTACAGACATCAATAGGAGAAAAGGTCAAAGACGCTCAACACAACAACATCCAGACACTGCGCCACTCACATCTTCATCTGTACCAGACCCTTGTTAGCCTGGAATTTCATTAAGCCCCAAGCAGCCAATAATGACTGGCAATTAAATCCTGTTGGGATGTATCGCCGAACTCTATTTTCCCTCCGGAGTCATTGTGGGGTTATAAATTGAGGCTGGTGGAGAAGATACAAGAGTCAATGGCGTTTGAAGTGCTAGATCCAATAAGAAGGGCCCCGAGTTCAAAATCTCCTGGCTCACAGTGTTTTATTTAGACAGAGTTGAACTAGTGTAATTGAATCTAACCCCAGTCATTAATCAGTCATCAGTATCTCTCAATCTGGGCTTTGCTCGTTGTTTTAATAATGGCAAACAATATTCATGGCCAGATCTTGGTGACCTTGATAAGAACTAAGAAATAAATTAGGACTAAAGCTGTATTGATGAATAAAGTAGGGCAAAGTCGCCACTTACATTAACTTCTCTTTTGTAAAATCCAAGTTCTACCTGTTAAAGATTAGCAAGCTATATTTTTGGACATGGTTGCTGGTTTTCTACTGGTCCAACCAACTCTAACCAGCATGATACAATTGATCAACTATCTATATCAACTAACAACCAGTAATTACTACTTCCACTACTACTTACTAACTAGATCTAATTGATATAAAAATGACCAACTAGAATCATGCACAAAAAGACTACGAATGTTTAAGTAATTAAATAAGATCAATTCTGAATTCAATCCAACTGATCAACCATCTGTGCCATCCAACAACCATAAACGACCAACTAGAATCATACACTATAAGACTAGGAATGTTTAAGTAATTAAATAGGGTCAATTTTGATTCCATGTTGATCTTTCGTGAACATTGACCCAAACATAATGATGATAACGATGCTATCAATATTCACACACTCTTCCTCTGCCACGTCTGATGACCTAAACTCTCAGATGAGTGAATTACAGCCTAAACAAGCATCTCAGATGGGCTAGAGACTGGTATAATGGTGGGAATGCGAGTTAAAGCTGTGCTGATGTGTTTAGGTTTGTCACTAACATTTCTTTCTCATGAGCTTGAACAACAAGCTTTGGAATAAGAGAAGAGGGCAGGCCCAAATAAGCAAAGAGCTGAAATCACTTTACACGCCGACTGCCTGGGAATCTGCAAATCATGCCAAGACTGGCGAGAGGAGGGAGGGATGTGGCAGATAAACAGATGGGGAAAAAAAGAAGAAATGAAAGAGAGAAAAGGTAAGAGAACAAAGAAAGAGATGGCAGGAGGCCGGAAGGAGTCGAGCGTGAATATGACTGTATAAAGCAGTGGTTCCCAACCCTGGTCCTGGAGGCACCCCAACACTGCACGTTTTGCATGTCTCCTTAATCAAACACACCTGATTCAGGTCATCAGTTCATTAGTAGAGACTCCAAGACCTGAAATTGGTGTGCCAGAGAAAGGAGACATGCAAAATGTGCAGTGTTGGGGTGCCTCCAGGATCAGGGTTGGGAACCACTGGTATAAAGGATGCTTCAAGACCCAATGAGATCTAAATCAGAGTTTTGCAGCCATTCATATGGTTGTGTACACTTAAACATTGACAGACTTAACATTTAGTAGATGCATTTTATTTAATTTTCTTTCTTATCAGGAAAAATGAACCAAAAGTATTGAATTCAAAATTAGAAATAAAAATGTCCTTCTCCTACACTAACGTTAACAAGTTTTTTTTGATAGAAATTAATATTTTATTCAACAAGGATACATTAAATTGATCAAAAACGACAGAAAATACATTTATAATGTTACAAAATACTTCTATTTCAAATAAATTGTTCTTTTGTACTTTCTATTCATCAAAAATCCTGAAAAATAGTATCTTGGTTTCCTTAAAAATAATAAATAGCACAGCAGTTTTTATCATTAATAGTAAGTAGAATAAATGTTTTTCGGGCATATCAAATAGATTTCTGAAGGATCATGTGACATTGTAGACTGGAGTAATGGCTAGAAATTCAGGTTTGCATCACAGAAATAAATTCTATTTAAAATTATATTCAAACAGAAAACAGTTATTTTAAACTGTAATAATATTTCATAAATTTTACTGTATTTTTAGATCAACTAAACACAGCCTTGGTAAGCAGAATAGACTTTTTTCACAAACATGTGTATGTCTTGTCTCAACTTCCTATTTAAATATCAACACAACTAAAAACTAATGGAGTGTCATTACATGCATCTATAAATTTCAACAAAAGAATGCATAGCGAGATGAAAATCAACAGGAAATGTGTTTTGACTAAATGAAACTCCTGATGAAATGAAACTCACATTTGTGGTCTTTTTATAGTAATCTATGTTGTGGACGTCTCTGGCCAGGCCAAAGTCTGCAATCTTCATAAAGTTGCTTTCCGTGACCAACACATTCCTGGCAGCCAGATCCCTGTGTATACACTGCCACAGAGATGAAGAAAGATAGAAAGAACATAAATCATCACGACTTCATCTTAAAAACACAGACAAAAATCACACGCAGACAAACAACACAAAGGTTTTAGGTGCATTAGGGATAAAGCGCAGGGCGGATCCGCGCGTGAGAGTGTCTGAGGCACGATAAGACTCCGTGCGCATTCCAGACGTGAAGAGGAGCGTGATGACAGTGTTTAGTTAGCATGTTCGCAGTGAGAGCGCTGTGACCGCGCACATCTGCTGGGATTCATTGACTGTCTGTCTGAAAAATGCTGCATGAATCTAATTGGACGGCTGAATGCTCTTTAAACAAATGTGCACGTGAGAATAAACTGCCTTAGAAATGCTTGTTATATGCTAAACTCTTCAATTTACATTCTATAAATAATTTAGCGAAACCACTAGCATCAAGTCTGGTCCATTTGTGTTTAGACTTGTGCCGGTAGACGGTAATGCGATATATCACGGTAATGAATATGCACGATATTGTTATCGTGGGCACTTCTAAATACCGTGAATAATTATATATTACAAATTATTTAGAATTTTGAATGCATTTTAAGAATACTTTTCCCACCAACTGGTCAAAATGCACAACACCGCTGTATGCTGCATGAAAGACGCTTGCGCACTCTGATGTAAACAAGCGCGAGCGAGAGGCACATGGCGGAACATGTGAGAGACGCACTGAATGAAAGCGCACTTTCACTCTCTGACAGCATTAGCAATTAATCGCAACATGAGAATTTGATACCGGCATATCCCTATTTGTGTTTATTACGGCAAAGAAGAATAAGCCACTTGGAGACTTTTTTAAAAGTGACGTTAAGGGACAGGTATACTCAGAATATACAGGCGTGTGCAAATGAAACCCTTGAATATCTTTCAAAGATTTGACGGCTTGAACCTTGCAAACTAGTTTCTTATGGATAGTGCTCATTTTAGCAGCCTGAGAACATGCAACATTTTTCCAGGCAGACTGATTAAAAGCTTGCAATTTTCAAAAAGTGCTTGCCATCTTGCATGTCCATTAGGGATTTAAAAGACAATTAATATTCAGTAATATTAGCGATTTAAGTACATCGCATGAGAACAAAATTTAAACTGAATTTAGATGACACTAACTTTGCAAAATCAACACTGTTGCTGAACTACACTGAATCAACACTAAACTGAATTGAGCTGAATAAAGACTACTGTTTGTTTTTACAGCTTAATTTAAAATGTTTCATAATTGATGAACTTTGCAACATTGACACTGTTGAATTGACACATTGACACTATTGACACATTGAAGTAAACTGAGCTATATAATGCCACTATTATCTTCTGTACAGCTGCTTTTTCATAACATTAACACTGTTATTTTGCTGAAAATGTGCTTTGACACAATCTGTATTGTATAAAGCGCTATATAAATAAAAGTGACTCGACTTGGTTAGAAAGATCATAGAGATCTGAGGCTGTGACCAGCACCATGCAAAGCCTATGTAAGTGACATTTATAAATCAATAAGTGATGTTAATAGTATGCATATATGCTGTGCATGTGCAGATACCTTCTGTGAGGCTAAATACTCCATGCCACGGGCTACTTGATAAGTGCAGGACACCAGATCTTTGAAGGTGAGAGGCTCATCTGATACTCGGGCTATATCGTACGAGTACTCCATTCCTGGGGGCCGCCGGGCCCTCAAATACTCCCGAAGGTTTCCCTTAGATGCATACTCTACTATGACATATAACGGACCTGAGAGAGAGAGAGAGAGAGAGAGTGTCATCCCACTGTTCGGATTGTTCACCCAAAAATGAAAATTGTGTCCTCATTTACTCACCCTCATGTTACTACAAACCTGTATGTATTTCTTTCTTATGTGGAGCACAAAAGAAGATATTTTGAAGAATTTCATAACCAAACAGCTGCTGGCAGCAATTGACTTCTATACAATGGAAGTCAGTGGCTACCAGCAACTGTTTCTTCAAACTATCTTTGTTTGTGTTCAACGGAAGAACATAGAGGTTTGGAACAACTTGAAGGTGAGTAAATGATTTTATTTTTGGGTGAACGATCTCTTTAAAATGAACCAGACTGGCACTTGCCATCCTGTGTGCACGCTCCCAACAGATTGATGATGTTCTTGTGTCGGCCAATCATCTTCATCATCTCCATCTCTGACACCAGGTCAGAAAGATCTTTCTCTGTTGCATCATCTAGAAAGGTTAAAAAATAAAACACAAATAAACATAGTGTTCATTGTACCCACTCAACAAAATGTAATCTGCTTTTTTAGGAAAAATCCTAAAAAATAAAGATTATTGGAGCACATTTTACAAGAAAATGCTATATCATCCTTTCTACTTCGAAATTTAGATTCTGTAGATTTTTGTAGCATATTTGTAGCATATACACATTATACATAATACAAAAGCAGTATGAGTGGTACATTAGTATGCCATACATGCCAGCGCACCCTATATGAGTAGACTGGCCGGACTGTCTGTCTGTGTCTCAGTGTAACTGTCTGTGTGGTTTAGTGTTTCACTGAAGAGCCGCCACAGAGCTTTCCTTTCATTTCCTCACAATTAAAAAGCGTTTCTTCCATTTAGAGTAATTACCTTAGAGACAGTCGCCTTTTCATTACCTGCCTGCTGATCACTGGAGCGAACCTGACACAATCCACTGACCGCCATTCCGGTCTTATCTTACTGCAGTTTCTTCTGCTAAGAATGCTGTGCACTCTTCCTTCCAAACCAGATTCATCAACGTTTCAAGAACTTCTCTAAAAATTGTGTTTTTGTGAACTAAGATTCTGTTCGATACTTTACAGTGGCCCAAAAAAATGTATTAGTGTTATTTTAGAATTATTCATATACTTTTGTAATAATTGATAATATTTTGTGTATATATATATATATATATATATATATATTGTATATATTTTATATATATTTTGACAATAATTTTTAATATTTTTTAATGTTTTAAATGAGCTTTTATTTTTATATTTTCAGTTGTCATTTAAATTTTAGTCATTTTGTTATATGCTTTAATAATTTTTATTTTTTTATATTTCTATAAAGCTTTACTTTTTATTTTAAAATGCCATTTTCATTTAGATTTGTTATTATATTTCTATTATTATCTATTTATATTCTATTTATATTTATATAAATCTTTATATTTCTTTGTCTATAGAGCTTCATTTAATTTTAAACTTCAGTTTTCATTTTAATTTTAGCCAGTTGAGTCCTCTGCACAATGTGACTTTGCTGCAGCCTGGAATTGAACTGCTGGTTTCGTCTGGCCAGAGGAGAACTGGGCCCCCGACTGAGCCTGGTTTCTCCCAAGGTTTTTTCTCCATTCTGTCACCGATGGAGTTTTGGTTCCTTGCCGCTGTCGCCTCTGGCTTGCTTAGTTGGGGACACTTAATATCCAGCGATATATGCATTCATGACCTCTAGACTGGACTATTGTAATGCACTGCTAGGTGGTTGTCCTGCATCTTCAATAAACAAGCTACAGGTAGTCCAAAATGCAGCGGCTAGAGTCCTTACCAGGTCAAGAAAATATGATCATATTACCCCAATTTTACAGTCTCTGCACTGGCTACCTATTAAGTTCCGTATCAGTTACAAAATATTATTACTTGCCTATAAGGCCCTTAATGGGTTAGCTCCTGCGTACCTTACTAGTCTTCTACCACGCTACAATCCATCATGCTCCCTAAGGTCGCAAAACTCTGGACTTTTGGTAGTACCTAGGATAGCAAAGTCCACTAAAGGAGGTAGAGCTTTTTCGCATTTGGCTCCCAAACTTTGGAATAGCCTTCCTGATAATGTTCGGGGTTCAGACACACTCTCTCTGTTTAAATCTAGATTAAAGACACATCTCTTTGGCCAAGCATTCAAATAATGCATATCATAATCTTGTACTGCAGTTATATCTGATGCACATTATTATTCTTTAGTTTGTGTTAAACAAATCAATTTTGCTTGTTTGGAACAGCAGCTACGCTAATTGTGTCCCTATTTGTTTCTCTGTTTTTGCCACGGGATTGACATCCCGTGGTAACTAGGATTTACACAAGCTTCAGTCTGGATCCAGAACACCTGAGAAGAGATGATGCCAACCCCTCAGAGGACCTCAGATGATGCCAACCCTGAAACAACCCACCAGATCCAGTCTGTATCCAGATCAGATGGTCACTGCAGTCACCCGGATCCAGTACATATTCAGACCAGATGGTGGATCAGCACCTAGAAAGGACCTCTACAGCCCTGAAAGACAGTGGAGACCAGGACAACTAGATGAGCCCCAGATACAGATCCCCTGTAAAGACGACCCCTTGTCTCAGACGACCACCGGGACAGGACCACAGGAACCAGATGATTCCTCGGCACATTGTGCCTTTGCTAGCCTGAAATTGAACTGCTGGTTTTGTCTGGTCAGAGGAGAACTGGCCCCCCGACTGAGCCTGGTTTCTCCCAAGGTTTTTTTCTCCATTCTGTCACCGATGGCGTTTTGGTTCCTTGCCGCTGTCGCCTCTGGCTTGCTTAGTTGGGGACACTTCATTTCCAGCGATATCGTTGACTTGATTGCACAGATACTATTTAAACTGAACTGAGCTGGATGATGACATCACTGAATTCAATGATGAACTGCCTTTAACTGAAAATTTAGTGTTTACTATTGTGATTTTGCATTATTGACACACTATTTTCCTAATTAATGCTGTACAGTTGCTTTGACATAATCTGTATTGTTAAAAGCGCTATTTAAATAAAGGTGACTTGACTTGACTTTAAGTTTTAGTCAATTTGTTATTCGCTCGTCATTTTTATTACTATTATTTTTATATATAGCTTTAATTTATTTTTTATTTCAGTTTTAATAATTTAGTACTTCAACTTATTTCAGTTAGTTGCCAGTGCAAACATTTTTTTTGTTTAATTTTTTTCTTGTCATTTTTATTACTTTTATTTTTATATATTTATATATAGCTTTAATTGATTTTTGTTTTTATTTCAGTTTTAGAAATTTAGTACTTCAATTTATTTCAGTAAGTTGCCAATGCAACTCTTCTACTTTTTTTTTTTTTTTTTTTTTAAGTTTAAGATTTTCATTTAGTAGTTATATTTTATTTCATCTTCTTTTCAATTTCCGAAAAAGATTTTTCATAATTCTAGTTTTTGTTAACAATAACAACACTACTGATTAAAATGATAGTTCCTTTCAAAAATATAAAATAGTAAATCTGTACCAGATTTACGAAAATATTTTAAACAATGCTTCAACTGTTTTTGTCGACATATTGAAAGTCAATGGGGTTCAAAACAACACCAGACCCCATTTACTTTCACTGTATGGACAAAAAATACCAAGATATTCTTAAAAATATCTTCTCTTGTGTTCTACAGAAGAAAGAAAGTCATATGGATTTGAAACAGCATCAGTAAACAACGCCAGAGCGTTAATCATGTTTTTCGAGGCCAGTAATTAAGCCAGGTGTAAATGGTGAACGTGCTCTTGTTTCAAGTGTTTTCTCCGCTGCAGCCCTGTCCCCTCGGCCCTCTCAACATCCTTTAAAACTTCTTTTGAGCTGCTGGCTCCCTCCCCCACTCTCTTTTCTTTCTTTCAGCGTGAGGGTCTTTCTTTGTGCAGGTGAAGAGCGAGAGCTGTGCAGCTGGTGAGCACCGGGTCAGCTATGCGGCCTCTTGACCCGAGCTCTACCAACATCACTCAGCACCAACAAATAACCCCGCGCAGGCCTCCACAGTCAAGACTTCCTCTTCCACTTTCTCCCTTTCTCAACATACGCACATTCTCAGATCATAACAATACCTTAACTAAAAGTTGCACCCAATCAAAACACTCTTAGCTTATGTGAAGTAGTTTTTTCATCTGCGACTGGAACGATTAGGGAGAGGCCATCATATCTGTATAATGTATAATCTGTATCTGTATATTATATAAATGTCTGACATTTGGCCAATTTTGAGATAATTGTGCCCAGAATCGTCTATTCCAAAATCCAAATTCCAAAAATAACATTTTATTTTGACAAAAAAAAAAAAAAAGAATTAAATGAGTTGCCGATATCTAGAGCTCAAAATGGTTTAAGATATATAAGTATAAATAACAAAAAGGAGGTCTACAACAATTTATATAAATGTAATGTACAATACAAATGTAATTACTAATAATATATAATAATATATCATTATATACACACACATATATATAAATTAAAAATGTCAAATAACTGTAAAAAGAATATTTATAATAACAACAGTTTATATGAATTTAATGTATACAATACAAATGTATATTAATACATTTATGTAAATTAATATTTTGATATGTGTGTACAAACACACACATAATATAATATAAATAACTGTAAAATAAATTATAGCTATACATATTTTGTTATATTATTTTAATTATTTTAATACATATAAATAATTGTAAAATAAATTATATATATTTTTTAATTTATATATATATATACATATATATATATATATATATAAAATATTAAATATTGAATCATAAACACCATGATTCAACAAGAAGTGTCTTAGCGTGTTGCTGGGATCATAACACACTATTGTTTTTGTAAAAAATTTTCCATCTTTTCACTGATACTTTAGCCTCATAGGGTCCATATGACAATATTATTCTGTCTGCATTGTGATCTGCCTGTCTGTCTGGTGTTTTTGCAAGATTGTTGAGCTTTTTTAGCAACTGCCTTGTCTGGGCAGGTAGACATTATTAGAGTGTTTGCTTCCCGTCATCTTCAAACTCTTTGCTTTTCTTTGAACAGTCCACTCTGTCTTCTGCATGAAACAGTCTAAAGAGTCCAGTCTGTTGTTCTGTAGAATATCACATGTGAATTGTATCTGTCTGCTGAGCTGGTGTGATTTGTAGCTTGTATCTGCCCAGCTTTGATCTTTCACTCGAGTACCATCCGTATATGAACCAGTAGTTTTGTGATTCACAACATCAGAGGAGTAGCTCCCTTGTAAAAAGCAATGTGAACCATTCGAAAGGTGACGCCCACATCAATTTATGAGCTGATGAGGTTAAAAGTCAAGTAATTCCCACCATCCTACATCTGATGAAGCCATTAGTGGTGAAATGTTTCAAATAAATTAAAACAAATGCAAAAATGGACCAGTTGCACACCTTCAGATACTGTTAACATGCAAGTAAACTAAGGGTAAATGTTGATTTAGGACACTCACTAGGGTACAGTTTTACTCACATGAAAACGAATCCATAAATATTTACCTTTCAGCATCTTGACAGCCACAGTCACGGCCTCTTTAGGTTTGTCCTTGTCGATGCCCAGAGCTTCAGCCATCACAACCTGCCCAAAGCAGCCCTCGCCAAGCGGTTTACCAAGAGTTAACCTGCACAAACAAACACAAACATTACAGAGAAACCCAAAGCTTTTGACAGAAGTTATTATGCCCATTTGCATGAGCATTTCTATCCATCCAGACAGACGTTTTCATTCTCTAGATGCGATTATGATGCCAAAAAATGCTGTCCAGTTTGGAAACATTTTGCATTAGCGACATTTAACTGTATATCAGAGCTGCATGTGTTGTGTTTACTTAACTCGTAGGTGTTAAGTGGATGCCCTTTGCCTTCCACTGCAAAGCTTACATTAGACATTAGTGAGTGTGACAGCCGAATGTCTGGCTGGGAGATCTAGAGTTACGGTCCTCTGGGGTGAGTAACAATATGCCCTTTGGGGATTTAGAGACTTTCTTAAAGAGTGCAAGAGAAGGCTAGATAGAGGGGTTAACGCTTGACTAGCGCGCTCTGGTCAAGTGCAAAAAAGAGCATGTTTCAGGAGAGTGTTGTAACGTATACATCAGTTAGGAGACTACCACCTTTTCTCAAGGGGTAAAGTGTTTTATTTCTGTGCAGAATAGCAAAAATAATGACTGTTTTCAAACGCTTGTAGTGTTCAATCAAACAGGTAGTCCCCAGTCTAATGCCGACATATGTATATATATATATATATATATATATATATAAGCTGATTATGATTATATATAAACATAATCAGGTTTTTGTCGAAGAGTCTATTTTATTGCATTAAGGTTTTACAGCATTAAAAAAAATTATTACATTTCACAAATAATTACAAAGAAACGGCAAGTAACATTAAATTAAACAAGAAATTATGAAATAGAAAGACTGAATTTTCTTGTAAAACTTACTCCAATAATCTTTGTTTTATTCACAACTTCGAAAATATGTTTTATTACAGAGCATGAAACAACATTAAAATAACTTATTTTATTTATGAACCAACTCTTCTTTTGAGAACAGCTCCAAAATTAGCTTAAATTCATCGAATGAAATTTTGGGGACATTTTCCAGCTAATTTGTCCCTTAATTAGGTCTAGTTTGGAAGCAAACACACCCTCACACATTAAAACACAGTCACACACACTTCATCTTCATCCCTCACGATAACTGTGACATTCAACCTCCTGCCCTGCCAGTGGCTCTCAGTCAAACTTTGATTGGCAGGAGCTGGGTATGTCCCCGGCCCCCTCCAGCACTGGGCTATGTAAACATTCACACCCGCGCTGGGGCCCGGGTCCGATCTGAGGCAGTGATAACACAATCCCCCTCTGTGCCGTACGGTCAATGGCGGCCTCTCTCTACTCCAGCCCACCACAGATAATCAATGTTATGTTTATCCTCCACGCCGACAACAAACGCTAACATTCCACAGTTTTCGGCCCAACATGCACCGTGGGGGGATGCACGTCATGCGGGGATGAAGACAGCAGTCCAAGAAAAAAAGAGAGAGACTTAACTAACTTAATAGCTTAAAGTTTGTGCTAAAAGGGGATGGTAGGAATGCACAAAACAGAAAGTTTGGCTCAAATCAATTAAAATGAATTAATTAATGAATAATAAATATTGTATGTATATATGTATAATTAATTTATAATAAATAGTTAAAATACTTTACTGTTTTAAAAACTGTTAAAAATTGATTTTGAAAAATCTAGAATTGATATGTTTCCAGTCAAACTTAGGAAAATATTATGTACAGTAAAAATACATTATAATTATTTATTATATTATATATAATAACAATAATTTAAAAATGTACATATAAGACTGATTTTTTTAAAATGATAAAGAAATTCTAGAATTTATATGCTTCCAGTAAAATTATCAAAATATTATGTACAGTAAAAATACAGTTATTTCTAATATACTATATATAATAAATATAATACAATTTTTCAAACATTACTGTATAGTATTTTTGAAACTTAAATAACAATTTACTGTTTGAATTGAAAAATGTAGGCCATGAATATTATCTAATTTCAATAGTAGAACATTTTTAAAAAAGAGAGAAAGATAATATCGGGCAATATTGATAATGTTATCGAATGAATAAATTTTTTTTTGGAATGGAACAAAATCTTTCCTTCCATTAAGTCTTGCGTTCTTCCAAAAATACACGTCTTAGCTTGTCTGCCCAAAGGCAACAATTCCTTTAGTGGGTGTGAAGTTCAAAAATACATAAAATAGTGCTTCCCTTCACCTATAGAATGAGCATTAATGGCCATTAGCTGTGAACATGTAAGAACTGTTATCCACTAAATCATGAACAGCTTAATCCTGCAAAAAACTGAGCAACTCCACCTGTACTTAGTGGTGGACAGTAACGAAGTAGTTTTACTTCGTTACTGTACTTAAGTACATTTTTCAAGTATCTGTACTTTACTGGAGTAGTTTTATTTTGAGTAACTTTTACTTTTACTTCACTACATTCCAAAGCATAAGATCGTACTTTTTACTTCACTACATTTCATAAAACATATCGTTACTCCTTATAATATAAAAATAAGTCAATAATGTTAGCTGATGCTAACTGTCTAGCTAACGAGCTTGCTGGTGCTAAATTGAGGTAATTTTTTTAAATAAAGTCCAAATATTTTTATTCAACCACCTAGATAGATTACATCTGAGGGAAAAAGATATGATGTGATGTTCAGAACATGGCAACTACAGTAATTATCAAAGTGGGTAGTGATGCCCTCTGGGGGCATTTGGCCAGGGGTGTTTTTACACCACAGACAAGGTTTGAGAAGAAAAAAATCATTATGAAAATCTAATTATATTTTC